AGACACCCAAGTTTATGATTTTCAAAATTATTGGCCAAAATAGCCATTTTTCCAGATATCATGAGCTGTAGGGGGCGCTATTCCCAAAATTTGGCATGGACCCTCAGATCATGGTTCTGATGAAGCGCACCAATTTTCGTTTTGATTGATCAAACTTCGGCCGAGGTACAGCCTCTGAACCAGTTTTGGGTAGACCTCGTTAAGTTTGCGACATCATAACTATTGAACAAAGACGAATAAAAAAAATCAGCAGTCATTTCTGTCCAAAGATCATTTGAGGCAATTTATGTAAGAAAAATAAGAGTATAGAAAAAGCTGAACTGTCCTTTTCAAAATGGCCACTACTGCAATGGGCGGAGTCTTAATGTAAGATGTTGATTGTGATCACCATTATGAGTGGACTAAGATTAATTTCTCTAGATCAAAAGTTAGAACCATTTCAATGTTGAATGTTTGAACTGGTGGTGGCGCTATAGAGTTGGTCCTAGAGACTCCAATATTGGTACAAGTGTGCCAAATTTCATAATTGTCCTATGTTGTGTTGATAGGGCTGCCATTGACTCCTATTCAGGAAAAAGAATAATAGTAAAGTAAACGTACAATTACAATAGGGTGATCAGGGGCCTCATTTATAACCGTTGCGTCGCACAAAACTGGCCCTGAAAGAGCCGTACGCCACTTCCCACGCACAAGTCGTGATTTTTAAAAACAAACTTGTCGGGAAAATTTGCGCACCTTCACGCAAACTCTGACCCATGCGTACGAACGTTTTGGAGACGGAGCAGTTCGATGGTGAGCTGGAGTTAAAAGTCTTTTTAGTCTCTTTTAGACAGAAAATCTAGAGAAAATTATACATACGATAATACAACTATAATTTCTCTCACCAAGCCTATCACTTGAGGCAAATATTAATCTCTTCATGTCCGCGCCGGCTAGTGCGTCGGGCCGTTTGTGAAACTGACGCATATACAGCCTATCTCCTTATTCTGAGATCACACACACACCTTAGGGGGGGTTTATTCTGATATAACAATCGATGTACAGCATCAATGACGCAGACTTCATCAGATTCAGATTGTGCTGTAAAGCTCTTTAATGAGTCACTGTTTGTTGTTCACTTGAGTCTGTTGTTCAGTGATTCAGATTCATCATGTGTGTGTGATTCTGCAGGATCCAGACCCTCACGGCGTCCCTCAACAGCCTCACTAAACAGAAGAGCAACAAAAAACGAAGGTCCAAAAAGGAAATGAGGCGCAGAAACCGTCAGAGCGACAGGAAGTCGTCATCAGCGCAAGACAACAAGCTCCGTCAGGGCAAAAGCACCAAAGCTCAGAGACGCCGACAAACGGGCCGGAACGAGCGTCATCAGGACTGATGAACGGCAGACTCGAGGAGCGCTAGCTGTAGCGTTCAGCTGAGCGACTGATGACCAGACTCGAGGAGCGCTAGCTGTAGCGACTGATGACCAGACTCGAGGAGCGCTAGCTGTAGCGACTGATGACCAGACTCAAGGAGCGCTAGCTGTAGCGTTCAGCTGAGCGACTGACGCCTGAACTCATGAACTCTCCCCGTTCTGTGTGTGTTTTGACATGTTGATGCTTTAAACGGATATTAAAAAAAGAAACCTTTCTTGCTACAGTGTCAAACTCTCATTCACACATTAGGCCTGTTCACAACCATAACTGTAGCGATAACTATAACTGTAATACCTATAATAATAACTGTAAAAATTACTATAATAACGTAACAATAACAACAACTATAACTAACTATAATGATAACTGTAATAACTATAACAGCTGTACCGATAACGATATAATAACCATAACGTTATTACATAACTATATAATAATTATAACAATAACTATAATAACGAACGATAAGTGTAACTCATAACGATAACAGTAACTGTAATGATAACTGTAATAGTTATAACCTTCAATAGCTGTAACGATAGCTAATGATAACTATAATAACAAATGATAACTGTAACGGTAACAGTAACGATAACTATAATAACCTTTAAAAACTATAATGATAACAGTAATAATAACTGTAACGAAAACAATAATAATATTTGATAACTGTAAAGAGAACTATAATAACCTTCGATAACTGTAATATACAGGTGAAACTCGAAAAATTAGAATATCGTGCAAAAGTTATAATTTTGATGATTATGGCTTACAGTTTATAAAAACCCCAAATTCAAAATCTCTGAAAATTTGAGTATTTCATGAAATCAACAAAAAAAAAAGGATTTTAAATACAGAAATGTCGGCCCTCTGAAAAGTATAATCATGCATATGTATATATATACTAAATATATTAGTTTCACCTTTTAATTTGAATTACTGAAATTCATGTTGCACGATATTCAAATTTTTCGAGTTTCACCAGTATAATAACTGTAACCGTAACCTCGGTTCCCTGAGATAACGGGAATGAGTAGGAACCGAAGTTAAAGACTAATCAAAACAAGCTTGAATCTGTGGCCTTCTCTCGTAATTGTAACATCAGCCTGTCAGTAAAAGGCATTGGTTTAGCCAGAGCTTGCACACTCATGCTTAAAGTGTAACTCAACCCCTGGTCAGAGCCTGACTCCACCCACTGGCAATATTTGAAAAATGCTGGAAAAGTGGGCGGAGCCCAGACGGGACGAACTGTGGGCGGGGCTAAGCGGGGGGGGGCGTGCACCCGAGACCCGCCGTGGCCGATTGATTGACACATAGTAGGGGTGTAACGGTTCACAAAATTCACGGTTCGGTTCGATACGATACACTGGTGTCACGTTTTCGATACAGCAAAAAAAGAAAGAAATGCCAGAGAAATTTGCTTGATTTATTTTTATTTTTTTTTATTAAAACTAACATCATAAAGTATGATCATTTTTTACTTTGAGCAATGATGGAGCTACACTTGACTCTTCTTAGGAGCATATACAACAAAAACAGCTCCTAATTGCTCCTTGAAAAAAAAAAATATATATATATATAAACAAAGGTTTATTTTTATTTCAGATTAACATTTGAGGGCAGCAATTTTATTCATATTGTCGAAATAAAACCGACGTAATGTTACTTGAAAGCATTGTAGCCTAACTTACTTTTCCTGCCAAACTTCCATGGTTACAGTTAGTAACCAGTAAACCCATGGTGAACGTTGCTGATCTGTGGACACTGGATAGTTCATTCATGGCGCAATTGTTCAAATGCTTTCTTTACTGGATGTCTCAGTGCTGTGTAGAAACTGTGTCGCTTCATCAAGATCGGCTCGCGCTGCATTGGTCCAAACTGATATAACGAGTAGCGCAGTTTCGTTCCGCTTTCATTACGTTTGCCATTTGATGTTGGCCAATGTTGTGGTCGCGCCAGCGCGTACTTGCCACGCGCCTACATTTGAAATAACGAAATTTTGGTCGGCAGGAAAAAAGGTCCAACGAACCGTTCGGTTTGTATTGCGTACCGAACCGAAAGCCTCGTACCGAACGGTTCAATATGAATACGTGTATCGTTACACCCCTAATATATAGGCGTAATTTGCAGGTGGGACATGTCCCTACCACTTTTTGCCAGGGTCGATTGTGTCCCCACCACTTTTGAAACATCTTGTGGCACGGATGTACCAATATAAATAAACAAAATGTCTCCAGTTAACTCTAGCAGAGCATTCATTTAGTTCGTTTGTTAAATAAGAGGCAATCTAGCACTCAAACTCAAAGTCTTCACACGGACGCGCGCTACAATCCGTTGCGGAGTCTCTCTATTCGTTCCGGTGAAATCACAAAACAAAATGCACACAAACGTGTCCCTGCTTGATATACAACCAATGATAAACATAATCAGTTTTGATGAGGGGAAAAAAACTATCCTTCTTAGTTCTATGTATTTATTCACATGAAAATTCTCTGCACTAACAACATATATTAGATCTCATTAAACGACAAATTGAACACAATGTACTGTTTAAATCGATTGCTGGACATCGTAATGTTATGCATCTGATTAATGATTTAGCATTGTATTAGCATCTCTTATCGATTCCGACGATGCTAGCGAAGGGCGTGGTGAGCTCGTGCCAGGGGCGTGGGTAGTGAGCCGTGAGTCGGGGAAACAACTTCCAATAGGAGAATTCAACTGCAGTAGCCACCGTTCAACCTAAAGAGGGCAGCACTCAGACGCTTTTACACCATATATTGTAGAATTAAAACACTTTATACCCAAATGTCAAAATATTTACTCGAGTCAATGAACAGCACTAATAAAGCCCCAGTCTTACAGATCATTAACTAAAAAAAGTTGTTTATCTACCGGCCTACTCACCTCGTCTGGCTCGAGTGTGTCCATCCAGCTGTACGCCCATTTTAGTGTTTTAGCAATTGGAACACACTGTAAGATATTGACGACACACAGCTGAACCAAATGAACGAATGAAGTGGCGGGGAAACTCCACAAATGCAAACAGAAAGTCCAAACACAAACCGACACATAACAACAACGAATTGTATTATCGATTAGCCACGTCTGACTAAAATACACATTTTGCTAAAATATGTTTTGTTAGAAATTAAGAATTTCTATGTAACACAAGTAAAGGCATTGTAACCCATTAATATAATATAATTACTGTTCAGACGATTGAATGTGTGTGTTCTACATACCTCATACAAGTTAACATTTTGTGTGTGTGTGTCTGTATGTGCGTGTGTGTGTGCGCGCGTGTGTGTTTGTGTGTGCGTGTGCGTGGGTGAATGTCCGTGTGTGAATGTGTGTGTGTGTGTGCGTCTGTGTGTGAGTGTGCATGTGCTTTTTTAAAATAATTTTCAATTTAGCTGTTTTAATTTCTGCTTTAAAATCATAAGCAAACATTCTAAACCGTTTTTAGGTTTAGAATGTAATGTTTGTATTTGAACCCTTTTCACTTATAATGTACAGCATAGCTGACATTCACTTGATCAGTCTGATTTCACCTGCTAGCACAAATGTGTTATGCCAAAGCGAACACAATGGAATATTACTATTTCGCAATATTGTGACATTGAAAAACTTGATATTGAGACATTCCCTCTGATCTTCAACCTGTGAAAACAATAGAGCACACAATCATGAGATTAAAAAAGTGTAGCAATAGTAAAGAATAAATAAGATTAATATAATAAGAAAGAGTGTACAAGAATATGAATACAGCCGATATAAACTAAGAGAAATTAAATTTACTCACCCTGTTTTTATGCTGCTTTTTACTCCAGGACACAGAGCCAGAAGACGAATACACAAAGGGGATGAAGATGGGGATCTTAAGCATTGTCAAAGACAATGTTGCCACCGTCTATTCCAGCCCAAATGTAAGGTGTTTATCTGTTGTTCTTGAGGAGTTAGTTGTGCTAGATAATGTCCAAGACCTTCCCACTGCTGTTGTTCTCATCTTTGGCTTGATTTACTGCCTGAACATGGACTATCCCAAAGAACTTAAATACACTTTTGAAACTATTCAAAAAGTGTTTATTGGCCTTGACCCCCAGTGCTCACCAAGGGTCCAGTCATTCAAAAACAAAGTAATGTCTAAGTAGCTGCAGTCAATAAGCAAGGCAAGCACTAATTTGTTCTTCCAGTTATTCCTGTTATTCCTTATCAGTACAACATCAAAAAAGAAAGCTTTGATTTTTAATGTAAGGTCAAATGTTGTTTTAACTGTTTGCTACTTGATTGCTTTAGAAAGTTTGTTGCATGGATGTGCTAAATGTAAGACAAAATTTTAAAATACCATGCAAGGTGTGTTGTAACTTGTGTTGTAACTTTATTGCTGCAGCATTTTATGCTTGATACTCTAGCACTTTAAGACAAATGTTGTTACTCAGCACTTTAAAATAATTTGTGTTGTGTAATGCCTGCACTAATTCTTTACCTCATGCTGACAGAAAATGTGCCATTTTGCAACATAAGTTTCAATAAAGATTTTTTGTAATGTTAAAAGTCTTTGCATTGTATTTACAGTAATCCCTGCATTTGGATTCTTATAATGTCAGGGCCATATAATAATTAGTAATAGTACGTAAAATTAGGTTAGAAGAAAATTGAATAAAGTTGAATAAACTTAAAAAAATCAAAAGTTGAGTTAACTTAAAAAAATTCAAAGTTGAGTTAACTTAAAAAAATAAAGCAACCAGCTGCAAAGCTTTTTTGAGTTTACTGAACTTCAGGACCTCTGTAGTTGTGCTTACTCGTTTCTTTGAGTTGGACTGGTAGTTGGATGAACTTCGACCACTGAAGTTGAGTAAACTCAAAAATGCTTTGCAGCTGGTTGCTTTATTTTTTTAAATTTACTCAACTTTTTATTTTTTACAGTGTATATTTGTGTTCATAGGCTTAATAATGGATTAAAATCGATTTTGTAATTAAAACAGTGTATAATATTTTTTATATTTTTCTGATTAATCAGACAGATTAATTGGATATCAAAACAATCGTTAGTTGCAGCCCTATTCGCACAACACTGGAATAACTCATTAATGGTAGGAAAGCGTTGTGTCATAAATGATGGAAAATCTCAGCAATGGTGGGAAAAGAGTTAATGGTAAAATTATAAAGCCACAGGTTACTTTTTTATTTTAATTTAGTTAGTTAGTTAGTTAGTTAGTTAGTTACTTTGTTGCTGAACAACTGCTGACAAAAGCTTGTCTAGGTTTATAGACATCATTGTTACTAAATGTGTTACTACTGTTCAGTTTTTTTTTTACTTAAAACAGTGCATTTTTAGGCTATACTTATGCTATAAATGTGCCCTTTTCTCACTTCCCTTTGGTGGAATAAAATGTGATCTGGTTTCTGCATTGTGAATGGCTATTTCCATGAAATTGCAGTGCTTGCAGCTTTCAGGTTTATTTTGTAATGTTGCTGAATACAGATGATTTAGATGTTCCGGGAAGTGAAAAAGTGAAAAGGACAAATCTGTTTAGGCTGTCCTTAAAATGACAAAAGTGAGTCGTTTAGGTTTTTAAAGTTTTTTTTAAATGTAATTATGACACAGTTGGACTTTTTACAGCAGAAAACAATACACAATGCTTCATTTTCATACAATTTATTTCATAGTTTTATTTATCATATATTGATAACCAACCAACAGTGTAAAAAGCCCTCACTGTAAAAAATGTACTACAGTAATTCAGCAACTACAAATATACTGTAAAAATACAGCACACCTGTAAAAGCAGCAAAACACGAAACCCTGTGAATTTACAGTTATATACTGTAATCTTTACAGTATGTTACGGTAATAATACCATGGACTGAATTAATACCTGAGATAACTCATTTCATTTGAGGAAATCGATTATCTTAAATTGGTCAATTGCCATTAAATATTTATACTGTGAGCTTATTTAATTTAAATCCACTAAAAAAGACTTAAACGAGTTAACTAGAAACATCAATTTAAAAGCTATTGAAACCACATTGCATAATTCTAATTGTTTGATTTTAATTTCTGTTAGACTTAGGACTTTTGGGTGGAGGGAGCAATATGGAAGCAATATTTACTTGACTTAAAAGTTGAGCAAAGTAAAATTATCAACAAATTAAAATAGTCAAAAAATTAGAAATATTTGAAATAAGCAAGTACAGTAACAAAGTATTTGTATTTCATTACTTTACACCACTTTCAAATAATACATTTTAAAAGTAGCTACATTGATTGCTAAATCTAGAAACACAATTGCCCAGTTGGCATTCCTGGAATGAGGAACTCTTCTGGGGAGAGGCAGAGAGGAGGAAGTGGAGAGAAAGAAAGGAGAAGAGCTTAACGGCACTCCTGAACTGTGTTAAAAAAAAATTTATTTGATTTTATTAGATATTCAGACACATTTTTTAACAGTCTTTGTGCAGTTTACATACACTATTCAATAACGCGATTAGAACAAAGCACTTAAGAATAAATAACTTACTTCATCAGCTGAATGGTAACTTTTCCAGGATTATTAAGATGCAAGATTATTAGCAAGACGAGGTAAGTAGCCTACAATATTCTTATTAAACTGGATGTTTTATCCAGCTGATGTGGGCGTTAACAGTTTGCATGGCTTGCCTCATATCATTTGCGTTTGAATAGCGCGCGTCCTCCGTGTGCGTGTCACATTAACGAGTAATTATGTGTAATGAGCAGGGGAAAAAAATACTGACATCACTCTCTTTTCATACAGATTACATAAACTGAGAATATTTGTTTTTTATATAAATTACTTCATTGAAAAGAAGAGAATTCAAGCTTCATAAAGAAAAATCTCTCGTGCCTGTATGACAAGTATTTGCAGTTATAGTTAATTTTCGGACGCGTTTCGGAATGGACTGCACTGACAGAGAGAAGGCAAAACGCCACAGAGTACCCTACGCCACAGAGTACCCTACGCCACAGAGTACCCTACGCCACAGAGTACCCTACGCCACAGAGTACCCTACGCCACAGAGTACCCTACGCCACAGAGTACCCTACGCCACAGAGTACCCTACGCCACAGAGTACCCTACGCCACAGAGTACCCTACGCCACAGAGTACCATACGCCACAGAGTACCCTACGCCACAGAGTACCCTACGTCACAGAGTACCCTACGCCACAGAGTACCCTATGCCACAGCGTACCCTACGCCACAGAGTACCATACGCCACAGAGTACCCTACGCCACAGAGTACCCTACGCCACAGAGTACCCTACGCCACAGAGTACCCTATGCCACAGAGTACCCTACGCCACAGAGTACCATACGCCACAGAGTACCCTACGCCAAAGAGTACCCTACGCCAAAGAGTACCCTACGTCACAGAGTACCCTACGCCACAGAGTACCCTACGTCACAGAGTACCCTAAGCCACAGAGTACCCTACGCCACAGAGTACCCTACGCCACAGAGTACCCTACGCCACAGCATACCCTATGCCACAGAGTACCCTACGCCACAGAGTACCCTACGCCACAGAGTACCCTACGTCACAGAGTACCCTACGCCACAGAGTACTCTACGCCACAGAGTACCCTACGCCACAGAGTACCCTACGCCACAGAGTACCCTACGCCACAGAGTACCCTACGTCACAGAGCACCCCACGCCACAGAGCACCCCACGCCACAGAGCACCCTACGTCACAGAGTACCCTACGCCATAGAGTACCCTACGCCACAGAGTACCCTACGCCAAAGAGTACCCTACGTCACAGAGTACCCTACGCCAAAGAGTACCCTACGCCAAAGAGTACCCTACGTCACAGAGTACCCTACGCCACAGAGTACCCTACGTCACAGAGTACCCTACGCCACAGAGTACCCTACGCCACAGAGTACCCTACGCCACAGAGTACCCTACGCCACAGAGTACCCTACGCCACAGAGTACCCATACGCCACAGAGTACACAGAGTACCCTACGCCACAGAGTACCCTACGCCACAGAGTACCCTACGCCACAGAGTACCCTACGCCACAGAGTACCCTACGCCACAGAGTACCCTACGCCACAGAGTACCCTACGCCACAGAGTACCCTACGCCACAGAGTACTCTACGCCACAGAGTACCCTACGCCACAGAGTACCCTACGCCACAGAGTACCCCTACTTCAGGAGCTTTCTGTTAAACCTGAAGAGGGCAGCAGACGTTTTTACACCATGTATTTGAAAATTAAAACACTTTATATCTAAATGTCAAAAAATGTACTTGAATCAATGAACAGCATTTATGAAGCTCCATTCTTACAGATCATTAACGAAGAAAAAAAGTTGTTTTAGTGTTTAGTTACCTTTTAACTAATGTAGTTAACTAGAGTTTTTATAAATGGAACCTTGTTGTAAAGTGTTTCAAATTTGTTATGTCTCTTGAGTTAAGTGTTGGACAGATCAGTTGTTTTAACCATTCATTAAAATGAATCGGTTCAAAGGAGTCATTAGTTTGCGTATCGGACGTGTCATTAACGGACCACGGCACACGTTGTGTGATTATCCCAGTAGTTAGGACATCGCACAAGATTTGTGTCATCACAGAAAACATTTCATCACTGGATAGATTTTTTTTGTTTTGTTTATTGAAAGTGTGGTTTATGTCATCTGAATGTGTGGAACGCTTTTCAGAGAAGATAAGGCAACGTTATTTTAGCACAATTCACAACCAGCGGTAGTTCAGAAAAAAAAACTTCAGTCAGTCATCACTCAGTTGATCAGATGAGAGGAAGTTAATAACCACAGGAGGAGCTGATGATGTTTAGAGGAGGAGCTGTAACTATATATAATGAGGAGGAAGACGGACAGAAACAGAAATGGCTGATAAGTGTGATCTGTGTCTGCTGGGACTGATCATTCTCTCTTCACTTCTCACAGGTAAAGAAATCTGTATTTTCTCTAAACACATTTAGTGGAATTAGTCTGGAAAGAGTTCATGTGAACATGCTCAGTTTATTCTTGCACACATTCACGTTGTGATCTCAGTGTTGTGTATTGATACACACAGATCATACTGTATTATTCCTGATACTGGACATAGTGTCACTCAAACATCTGATGATGAAGAATGATCTTCATATTAACCCTCTGGGGACCAGAAACGCGCCGGTGCGTTTTGCCGTTTTTTTTTCCCCACATAGCAGAAAAATAGACTTAAAATACTCTGTTGATTTTGATCGTACATATAAGTGTTATACATCAATCGATCCTGTTAATTGTCTATTATTTTTCTGTTTACTCACAATAAAAACAAAGTTTTGTGCTTTTTGTCAAATAAAGAAAAATAAACATGATGCGAGTTTTGCCTTCTCTCTGTCAGTGCAGTCCATTCTGAAACACGTCCGAAAAATTAACTCTAACTCTGCAAATACTTGTCATACAGGCACGAGAGATTTTTCTTTATGAAGCTTGAATTCTCTTCTTTTCAATGAAGTAATTTATATAAAAAACAAATATTCTCAGTTTATGTAATCTGTATGAAAAGAGAGAGCTATCAGAATTTTTTCCCCCAGCTCATTACACTTCATTACGCGTTAATCTGACACGCCCACGGAGGACGCACGCTATTCAAACGCAAATGTTGAGGCAAGCCATGACAACGCCCACATCAGCCGTTCCACCGTGGCGGTAAAATGTGGGGTGTATTTGCTGCCTTTTACCGCTAAGAGGCGCTACAATCATAGACTCTGAAAAGTGTTCGTTTATTCCGATTTATTCTCTCTAATGCGTAATCTGCCGCCGCACCGCGGCTCATTCAGAGCGATTGAAAGCTGGTAGCAGATGAATTCAACAAGTGAAACGTAGTTAAAATAATTCATAATCACAATACTCAAATTAGGCTACTGAAATGAAATTGAATAAATAATGAAAACATAAAACATTGCAATAAAAACATTTACAGACGTACAGACGGTAGCTCAGTGGTTAACGCAACAACACGAGCTTCAAGGAGCTTCAATCGACCCGAGATCGAATCTCAATGTAGCATGCATGTTGTTGGCCAACAGCGTTTATATTTTACCTTCTTGCTGCTTAAATAGCTAACTGTTTATAACTGTTTACTTATTTAAAGTCAAGAGTTTTGTTTAATTATCATTACAACATATTTGCTACATTCCTGTAGAGCCGCAGCCGCTGCACAAACAACACAAACTGATGAAGGAAGATTGTCAGCCGATTGCATCAGAAAATGAAAATGAAGAAGCTCGTCTTTAGTCTGCTAAATTATTGTGTAATGTAAAAGAACACTAAAATTACTTAAGTTTGAAACCAAGTTCGAACATTTCAAGGTTTAAATAAAGTGTCGGGACAGTTTTTTTAATTAAAAAAATTAGAGTTTAGAGTTTATTTCTTTTGCGATGCAAAATAAGAAACACTAGGCTAATCTTATTCTTGCGACATTTTAAATTTGTATTGCCAAAGAAATTACAGCTATATTAAACAATTAAAACAGTACAAAACGAAAATTGTCCAAAGCAACATAATTAAATTAAAAACATGCGTTTTTCTTTGCTTCTCTCGTGCTGAATCTCTTTTTAACAAGTTTATTTAGTCTCCCTCGGCGTTAGTGGCGTTATCCGACACTCTCCATATGAAAGAGAAACATTAACACCTAGGCCTATTGTCCTGCGCGCACGATACAGCACTGAACTGTCCCTCCAACCCCCCACATGCTATCGGAGTCTGAGGCTGACTTAACACAAAGAGAAGTCGCAATTCACACTTAAATCGCTATTCTAGACAGTGTTGATAATGAAGGAATTAAATGATTTAAGTTACATGTAGCCTATGATATTTCTGTCATAAAAGTTTATTACTAAATATTTCTTTTAGCTGTTATGAGAAAAATAAATTCAAATGAATTTCGACAAAAATCGTTTGTCAAACTCTAATTCAACATGCCAGAATAAAGCCAGATTTTAGAATAATGCATAGCCACTCGGCGTGGTGTGCCAAAATACCCTAGGCCTAATTATAAACTTCAATATTTCATTCAAAACCATCTCAAAACGCTTTGTGACATTTTAAAAAGCCGTGAATATTAAGGCCACTGGAACCAGGATCGTAACTGAAACGCGCTGCATGTCTCAATACAGGAAGCGCTGGTTCAGATTGTATTGTTTGTTGTTTAAACGTGCATGTTGCATATTTAAAAATATTTGTTTAAAAATAAATGTTTGTTGTAGGCTTATTTGTAAATTACCATAACTTGTAGAATTTCATCCTTACTGTTAATTGACATTAGCCCCACTTACGTTTTGATAAATGTCCCTTTGCGCCACCTGGCGCTCATTTCGCGAGCGACTTTGAAATGCGACTGGTTTATTTTTATTGTATTGGTCTACTTTAAAAAATAATACTTTATAAGACATTTATGGGAAAAGACTATTTTCTTTTCAAGATGTTTCCAACTGTAACTTTGAACCAATTCTGTAGAATGGCCCATAAAGCATTTGACCAGGATTTGTTTCCAGGTATGACTAAAAATGTGCTTTTGGCTTTCATTTATATTTTGATTGTTTGTATATATATATATATGTGTGTGTGTGTGTGTGTGTGTATATATATATATATATATTATATATATATATATACTGTATATATATATACAAGAAAGAATGCAATGGCAATATATATATATATATATATATATATATATATATATATATATATATATATATATTGTCCTTGCATTCTTTCTTGTGTGACACCCCTGAATGAAAGGCTCATTATTATGCAGGGTCACTGTCTGAGAACCACTTAATTATTCATGATAGGGGTTGGGCCGTTCCGCCCATCCGCATATTGCCTTGGCAAACAAAAAAATGTTTTTCACAATTTAAAACAATCTATTGTTTTATGTGAATGATTAGGAAGGATGATTTTCAGATCATTTTGAAGCAAAAACTCTAGGCGACAACGTACATTAGTCAAAAGTCTTGTGGACACATATTTAGTATGTTTTTTGTGTCCTTATTTCAAAAACTTTATTTTTTATTTTTTTCAATAACCACGCATAAACAATATTCTCTCAAAAATACAAACATGTACACACTTTGTAACTGAGGTTGGCTTTGTGTATGTCTTCCTTTTTTATAGTACTTTTGTTTCATTTTACACATTGCACAGATTTCTGTTTTATGAAGGGTCTTTTTGTCTGTTTTTGTTTTTTTGTTTTTGATGTTTGAAAACCTCAATAAAAATAATATACACTAAAAATACAAACATGTACATACATGTTGCTCACACATTATGGTAGTCCTGTTTGTGCTAAATAGAGTGTAATTTCACCTGTGCCATTAATATGTTTATAAGCAACTGAAAAAAAGCACAAATGTCAGAGCATGTCAAAACATCTCAAGGACCCCAAAAACACCTTGGTCCCCAGAGGGTTAAGAGTGTGTCAGTGATTTGAACAGCTCTCTGATAAAGACTAATAGTTTATTCTGGAGAGTGTGTGTTTGCTTTAAATGTGGAAAAATACTATGATTTAAAACTTCTGCTTTTTATGCTGGTATGTTTTAGGTTTTCATTTATTAATATACTGTATATCATAGGGCCAGTTGTTCAAAACATTTAATCTGGATCAAAATGATCCGGATTTGGAAATCCCATTTTTTCCTATCCAGGATCAGGTAATCCGTCTTACTTTTATGCCGGTTTTTCAAAGCAACATTGGACTGGATCACCCTGATCCAGATACACAGTTTTCAAGATTACCAAATCCGGATTACCAGTGCTCTAAATGGGACCACATATCATAATGTGGGCTACCAGCTATGTAAAGAACAGGTAGAAGAGCCAACATGGGGTCACTGTAAGTGTTTCTTATTTTGAGACAAAACACAAAAATAACATAAACATCCACTTCTAATCATAATTTATTTTATGACCCACATTTGAACCACAACAAAATAAACAACAAACATACATTAAGAAATACATTGTGGACATTTTGAAAACGTCTTAAAAAAAATGAAATGGCTAAATATCCAATAGTTAACGAAATAAAGAATGTTCAGGGTTCTTCTTCATCTGAGGAGGAGAGACCAGCATTTCCAAGCCCGCTTTTAGGAGGTGGATCTGAAGTTTCGCTTTGGTTTGCTGTAGTTTGGTCAGCTTGATTTGTTCCTCTGCAGGAGTATCTGTGCTTCTGCTCTTTCTGATCATTCCTGCGTAATAATCAAGAAACTTTACTGCCGTACCATGAGTGCAGCAGGCGTAATGATATGACGCAGCGCCTGAAAATAGGCCACCTTCCGTCAACACAACGGAACTATTTTCAGGCGCTGCGTCATATCATTACGCCTGCTGCTCTCATGGTACGGAGGTAAAGTTTCTTGATTATTACGCAGGAATGAGAGTATAGTTCCTAGCCATATCAGCCTAGAAAATCGCAACTTTACATTTTCCGTCGGTCTTAGTGCACGATGTAACTACAGAAGAGTCAAGTTTTAAATAGGAAAAATATCGAAACTCTTTGGTCATTTTTTTTTTAGAAATGCTAATGGTCTTGTCCACTTCAATGATGTATGCTAAGCTATGATAAAAGTGGTACCGCCAGAACCAGAGATCGGCTGAATGGATTCAAAAACGGTAAAACTCAACAGTTTTACTCTGGGGGAGTTGTAAAATGAGCCTATTTTTTTTTTAAAAAGTGAAGTATCCCTTTAAGAAGTGATTCATAGAAATCATCATTTTTATTCGGCAAAGGACGCTTCAAGCCTCTTTTCTGAGCTCCTGTGACTTATGGCTCTACCAGTGAGGATCCAGGTTGTTCTTCAATAATAGGGCTGAGATCCAGAATGAATGTTTCCTCTGCATTAGGAGGAACTGGCTCACTTTCCTCTACAATTGTAGGCTCACCATCCCTTACAACACCTTGAATCCCATGCAGAGCTTTAGAGTTCTCACCTCCAATAATGTCCAGAATCACATCTGTGTATTCACCTTTCTTAAAGGATTTGTTGCCTGTTTGCTTCAGCAAGGTCCCGGCTCTGACCCTCAGATTCTTCCATCTAAATTTCACTTGCTCCAAGGTCCTCTTCTGGCCAGACCCCATTGCATTCACATTCTGGGTGATTTCAACCCAAATGTCTTTCTTCCTTTTGTTAGTCACCATTCCACCTGCAACAGAGCTTCCTACTGTTGAGGCATAATGGCACTTAACACCCTCCAGCAGTGCATGGGTTTCTGCAACAGTGAAATTAGGTCCTTTTGAGTCCATGGTTTTACCGCTTCTGTTGTAGTGAACATAGTATTTATAGGCCTTGGGCATGATTGATTTAATTGAACACAAGCCACAGCACGTCAGCCAATTGGTGTGTGGGTATTTGACAGCCATCTTATATTCAGCCTTTCTCAGAGGACTTAGAGAGAGGCACTGACATGGCAGGTATTGTCCATCGCTACCACCGTGTTGGTGGAAGAGGATACCGTCAAAGGGTGTATGTTGAGCGTGCACAACCACTGGAGCAATACACCACTGAAGAACTGTATGCTCGCTTTCGCTTTGGGAATGCTGATATTAAGTACATTGCAGACCTTGTCAGGCCAAAACTTCAACGGAGAACCCGAAGGAGTCACAGTCTGTCTGTGGAAGAACAGGTCCTCATTGGTCTGCGCTTCTATGCATCTGGGACTTTCTACCAAGTGGTTGGTGATAATATGGGAGTGGACAAATCAACTGTGAGTGATGTGGTGAAAGCTGTGTCAATTGCATTGGCCAGCCTGGTCAATCAGTTTGTTTCACTTCCAAAGGATGTCCAGATTGCCCAGACCAAGCACAAGTTTTTTTCTTTTGGGGAACATGCCCAATACTATTGGGGTTATTGACTACACTCATGTGCATATCCAAGCACCTCATGAGAGGGATTGGGAGTACTTCACCCAAAAGGGGAGGCGCAGCATCAACATCCAACTTGTGGGCGATGCTGACCTCATCATCACAAACTGTGTCGTGAAGTGGCCTGGGTCTGTTCAAGATGCACGCATCCTGAGAGAGAGTGCCTTATACAGAGAGCTCCAAACCAACCGACCGGATGGCATAATATTAGGAGACAGTGCCTATCCACTCCTACCATAGCTGATGACTCCTTTTCTTGCAGCAACCACACCTGCGCAGGCACGCTTCAACACTGCTCATTGCAAAACAAGATGTGCAATTGAGCGTTTAAATGGAGTTCTGAAGAGACGCTTTGCATGCCTTAACTACTTGCGAGTGGAACCACAGGTAGCATGCAACATAATACTTGCGTGTATCGTCCTGCACAACATCGCTACCAGGCGCAATGTCCCTCTCTGTGATGATGTTTATGGCCTGTTGAAGAACAAGACCAACCTCTGGTGGTCTGTCAGAATCAGGGACTGACTGGACGAATAGTAAGGGATGCAATTGTTAGACATTATTTTTGACAGGCTCATCTCTGATGATTGTTTCTTTGAAATTAATATATGGTGATGAATGACCGAAAAATGAATATATTATTTTTGTTTGTTATTGAAATCTGTTTGGGGGATTATTTCATGGGGACAAGATCATTTTTATTTTATTTTTACTTTACTATACTGAATAGCTTAATTGTTAGCCCATGTCTACTTTATCACTGTTACAATGGTTACACAAGTCAAGTGCAAAATATAAATAAAAGTATATACACTAAATTATACAAATGTATTATTTGACCAATTTTAAAGTTTTACTACATTTTCTTCCTGAAATCCACCTTGAAATCCTATCCCCTGTTGGGATCAGGATAATCCTTTTTTTTTTTTGGATCAAAGTTATCCAAATCCCACTGACAAGTTTTGAACAACACAAACTGAAGGTTTGATCCAGATTAAAACTAGGATTGGATTCCCTGATCTAATCTGATTTCAGATTCCTTCTTTCCCTTTTGAACAACCCATTTGATTCAAGATTTGATCCAATCCGATAACCAAAATCCGATCAGCTTACCTTTGAACAACTGGCCCATAATGATGACTGAGATATACTGTGTTTCAGGCACCAGTGGAGTGGAGGATGTGTTCATCAGTTCTGGTGAAAATGTCTCTCTGCCCTGTAATAAAACTCTTCCTGACTGCAAATCACTATGGATCTACGTTAACACCTTGAGACATTCAGGAGGAGTTATACTTATTAATAGAGGGATAAAGAATAAAGACATAGAGAGACATGAGAGACTGAGTCTGCAGTCTGACTGCTCTCTGAACATCAAGAACGTCACAGGAGAAGATAATGGATATTACAGCTGCACACAATATGTGAATGACAGACAACAAGTACATTATGCTGTTTATCTGCATGTTCTTCATGGTAAGTTTATGATTATGTGGTCAATTTAAAAAGGGCAGATTCTCCCTTTAAACTCAGATGATGATTGAAGAGTCTGTGATTTGTGTCTTGTGTTCAGTTTCAGTGTCTCCATCATCATCATCTTCATCATCATCAACATCATCTTCATCGTCCTCACAGACTGAGATCAGTCCAGGCCGCTCTGTGACTCTCTCCTGTCAGCTGTATAGTCGATTCTCCTGTGATTATTGGGTCAGTTCTGAGGGAATTGAGCTGTTGTGGGTGAATCAGGCTGGTGTTGATCTGAAGACAGACTCCAGATATCAGATATTATCATCATCATCTCCTGATCGCTGTATCCTCACTCTGACTACAACACTCCTGAATGAAGATGACAACAGAGAGTGGAGATGTCAGCTTATTCGCAGAGAAAGCAACTCCAGACCTCAGTCACATACACTGTCAAGTATTCAGGTGAGAAACAACACTGTAAAATATGATGTTAATGTCCTACAGTCACACATCATCAGCCTCTCGCTTCACCGGTTTGATCACACCACAATAACATCAGCCTCATCATTCCATCAACTCAGGATTAAAACCTCAAACGATTCGTCAAAATTTGTGCATTTGAATGTTTTCATACAGGAAACGTTGTATGTTTTACACAAAAAAAAATGATATGTTGGCTTTACTTAACTTTTTTATGTAAACAGGTTCCACCGGTTCCACATAACTATGTTTCGTTAAACAAACATAATATGTTCATGTAACTTCAACATCATGGAATTTGGTCATTTTAAGCGACCCAATTAAACTCTGAGCTAATGAGTTAATTAAGTGAATAACTGAGTGATGATTGAGCATTATTGAAGACACCTGATGTTAACAAGCAGAATCTCTGAAGGAGAAAACCGGAATGTTTAAGTCACCATTATGGAGATAAGTGTGTGTTTTAGTTGGGCTCTTGACCATTAACTTATTAACTTTAGATTTTGTTTGGTTGCTGTACATGAGTTATAACAGCCAGATGAACAATGAACTGATGGAGATCTGATGGTGTTGGTTGTGATTTAACATAATCATTATTTCACAATCATTTGACCTCAATCACTGAACTCATATTAAACCGAATTTCTGAGTTAAGTTAACCTTACTGTCATTGTAGAGCATACTATTTTTAGGCTTTTCAATGAAATTCAAATGATCAAATCAAGAAATAAAAAATAAACTTCTTAAAAAATATCCTGAGTAGGCACACACAGACATCAAGAATCAGCATATGAATCTCAGCAATGGTGACAAACAGATCATAAGCTCATTATTTATTCATGCAGCAATGCATGATGGGAGCCATGAATGAGTTTTGATTGGTGGCACCCAGAATGCACTGCAACATGCTTTATAATTGTCACATTGTTGAGATTCACAGGCTGATTCTTGATGTCTGTGTGTGCCTACTCAAAATATTTTTTAGGAAGTTTCTTTTTTATTTCTTGATTTGATCATTTGAATTTCATTGAAAAGTCTAAAAATAGTATGCTCTACAATGACAATGCTGCTGTTATTCAAAAGGTTAACTTAACTCAGAAATTCGGTTTAATATAAGTTCAGTGATTGAGGTCAAATGATTGTGAAATAATGATTATGTTAAAACACAACCAACACCATCAGATGACCTTTGTTTATTGTTCATCCGGCTGTTATAACTCATGTACAGCAACCAAACAAAATCTAAAGTTAATAAGTTAATGGTCAAGAGCCCAACTAAAACACACACTTATCTCCATAATGGTGACTTAAACATTCCGGTTTTCTCCTTCAGAGATTCTGCTTGTTAACATCAGGTGTCTTCAATAATGCTCAATCATCACTCAGTTATTCACTTAATTAACTCATTAGCTCAGAGTTTAATTGGGTCGCTTAAAATGACCAAATTCCATGATGGTGAAGTTACATGAACATATTATGTTTGTTTAACGAAACATAGTTATGTGGAACCTGTTTACATAAAAAAATTAAGTAAAGCCAACATATCATTTTTTTGAGTGAGATGCCGTCAATATATTTATATTCCACATTTCAATTTTATGCAAAATTAGAAATGCTAGTGTGCTAGAACCTTACTTAACATAAAAAAATATGATGTTAATTTCCTACAGATGATGTGTCTGAACATTCATCTTCTGCAGCTCCAGTCGATTCACCAACACTGACTCCAGTCATACACACACACACACACACACACACACACACACTGACTCCAGTCAGAAGCTCAAACTCTGAGAAGACATCAAGCCGATCTCATCATTTCTGTGATGTGAAGCTCCAGTATTATGTGATGATGATGTTGTGTATATGTGGCATTATGTGTTGAACTGAACTAACAGACGTGATCCACAGATCCAGCTGATCCAGCATCAGAAACTGCTGGATTATTATACAGAGGTACGACACGTTCATTTATACTGACAGCTTTATAACATTACACTATCAGTCAGTCTGTAAATGCTTCATCAAGAACTGTTGATAGATGAAGACCCTTGACTTCAGTCATGTACAGTTTCTCTTCTTCCTCTCATGTTTCCTGCAAATAATAGGCAAGATTTATTTTCATTTACACGTATATGGATTTTATGGATATATTTGCCTACAGTGTTGAAAGTCACTTTCTTGTGCTTCATATGTAACCTGCTTTAAATATAATTTTAAATAAAATAAAAAAAATTATTAAAATAGTTTAGTGGCACTTCTGAAACCAGAACAATATTTTACTTCTAGAGTTTAATGGCATGCAGGGAACTGCTAAAATAAAGAAGTGAAACTAAGAGCAATGCAAAGAATAGCCTATAAACTGTGTTCAGAGCAGATGAGTGTTGAGCCAGTGTTATTAACAGTATATGCACTTCTCACACGTTTCACACACACACACACACACACACACACTTAAAGCAACGCTTCACTGTGGGACAGTGTCACCAATAGCAACTATCCGAATTTAAACACTCTGGGCCCTATCTTACACCCAGCGCAAATGACTTTGTACGCCGACACATGTATCATTACTATTTTACACTCGACGCACAGGGACTTTTCCCTCACAGACGCACACCGGTAAATTAGGGAATGAACTTGCGCTCGGGGCGGTTCAGGAAAAGAGAAGGCGTGAATATCATGCCACTGACCAGGAGAAACCTAGTCTAAAGTCAGTGGCATGATATTCAGATGCTATTTTAAGGGTGCATGCTTGGCCATAATGTAGCATGTGCACAACACATACACTTTGCTTCTCTCATTTACTCAAACACAGCAGTTCATTTTTTTGCAAACCATACATAATTACAAGGAAAAATATTACCACATGAGGGAAATCATTGTTGTGTCCATGAAGATGTGAAAAATAGGCATACATCTAGCCTACACATTTACCCAAATTATTATACGCCTGTTTAACCGAAGCTAATTTGGATGGGTTTCTCCATCCACATACAATGTCACTTCTCTGTGAAACATCGGTCTCCTCGGCTGTGAACTAGAGTTCTCAACGGGTCGGCCCGGCAAACCTGACGGGACCCGCGGGTTCGGGTCGAAAATATAAGCAAATGACTCGGGTCGGGTCGGACCTCGGGCTTAATCTTTTCCGCTCAGTGAAAAAAAACAAAAATACTGATTTATAAATAGTCTATTATTGTGTGACAACTTTTATAATAATTTGATTATTGTTGTTTGACAACTTTTATAAGTTGCTTATAAGATGAAGCCCAGAGAAACAAAACACAGAGACATGATTTGTTAGAAATGTTTATTGGGTTTATAAAGACTACACAGAGACATGTTTTGATAAAAAAAGTTTTATTGGAAAATGATAAAAGAAAACACAACAAGCCATATTTGGAAAAGTTATTTTATTGAGGCAAGGAGCAAATAAGTGGAATATAACCTGTATTAAGAAACAAATATTAAGCATGCGTATAGTAAGGAAAATGCAAGTATTACCGTAGTGCTGTTCTAGACGAGAAGAAGAAGGATGAAGGTGTACAGAACTTTTTATAAGAAAATGGTGAAAGGATTAAAGGAGTTATCCATTGATCAAGATCTGGGATTGGATGAATTGTGCATATAAGATTGAATATGTAATAAAGAGGTGTGATATGTAATATGCATTATAAAAGTACAGTATTCCATGTGTGTGTTAGACGCTGGGAGATGAGCCAGCTTCTCCATTGTTTGGTCATCCGAGCCTGACGCCTGCTGGTGGAACTTGTGAACTGATTTTACTGTACTTATACGTAATACTTTGTATGGAAAACTTTGAACAACAAATATAATAAAATTACTTGTAATCATTATAAAAAAAAGATTGCCTGCCACCAGTCTCTGCTTTCTATAAAGAACTAAACCACGGAGGGGTCTTTCTTCTAGACTGTAAGTATGAGTTTGAATACTTATCATCTAGTGTAGAATTGGACCTATACTTTACCTTACCTGAGATTATAAATCAAATAAGGTAGAAGGTGCTGATGATATACACTCACCGGCCACTTTATTAGGTACACCTGTCCAACTGCTCGTTAACACTTAATTTCTAAGCAGCCAATCACATGGCGGCAACTCAGTGCATTTAGGCATGTAGACATGGTCAAGACAATCTCCTGCAGTTCAAACCGAGCATCAGTATGGGGAAGAAAGGTGATTTGAGTGACTTTGAACGTGGCATGATTGTTGGTGCCAGAAGGGCTGGTCTGAGTATTTCAGAAACTGCTAATCTACTGGGATTTTCACGCACAACCATCTCTAGGGTTTACAGAGAATGGTCTGAAAAAGAAAAAACATCCAGTGAGCGGCAGTTCTGTGGGCGGAAATGCCTTGTTGATGCCAGAGGTCAGAGGAGAATGGCCAGACTGGTTCGAGCTGATAGAAGGGCAACAGTGACTGAAATAACCACTCGTTACAACCGAGGTATGCAGCAAAGCATTTGTGAAGCCACAACACGCACAACCTTGAGGCGGATGGGCTACAACAGCAGAAGACTCCACCGGGTACCACTCATCTCCACTACAAATAGGAAAAAGAGGCTAAAATTTGCAAGAGCTCACCAAAATTGAACAGTTGAAGACTGGAAAAATGTTGCCTGGTCTGATGAGTCTCGATTTCTGTTGAGACATTCAGATGTTAGAGTCAGAATTTGGCGTAAACAGAATGAGAACATGGAACCATCATGCCTTGTTACCACTGTGCAGGCTGGTGGTGGTGGTGTAATGGTGTGGGGGATGTTTTCCTGGCACACTTTAGGCCCCTTAGTGCCAATTGGGCATCGTTTAAATGCCACGGCCTACCTGAGCATTGTTTCTGACCATGTCCATCCCTTTATGGCCACCATGTACCCAGATTTTTCAATTTGGAAAAGTTTTTTGCACTCAATTTAAATTAGGATATTTTACTTTATTTTTACCGTTTTTGTTTGGCAGCCGTAGCTGCCAGTCATTGACCGTTTTTTTACGATTTTATTTTTTACAGTGTAGCTTCAGCAGTTACTAACAGTCCGATTCAATTAGTTCCGAAACCGGACAGTCAGGGATTTCGCCTTGTTACGAACTTCAAGGCTCTTAATAGATTGACAAAACCAGACCGTCATTACAGTAGAGATACAATTGAGAGATTAAAGGATGGTGAATTCCTAACGAAATTAGACTTAATTAATGGATTTTGGGCTATTCCAATTAAAGAAAATAGTCAAGAAAAAACTGCATTTACTGTAAATAATAAACATTATGTTTATCAACGGCTTCCGCAAGGATATAAATACATCAGTAGTATTTCAAAGTGTAATAATGGAAATATTAAAAGACTTACCAGTGGATATTTATATTGATGATATCCTAGTGCAAACGAAAAAGAACATGTAGAAACTGTGAAAGAAGTATTAAAACGAACTGCAAAGTCAGGATTAAAAATAAATATAAAGAAAAGTGAAATCATGATGGAGTTGAATTCCTAGGTTTCAGGGTGTCAGCAGGCAATAGGGGCATTACCCAGACGATGAAGGAAAGAATAACTGAAATAAAATCACCTGAGAATGTTACAAATGTACAACAAATGATGGGACTAATGAATTATGTTAGAGATGTAATTCCTAAATTTAGCCAAATGGCGAAGCCTATATAGGCCTATGCGACAATAAAAGGTAATAATTTAAATTGGACCGAAGAAGCTAAAAATGCGCTCTGTGATTTAAAAGAAGCGATTTTAGGCTCAGGACAATTAGAAGGAAGAGATGACGAAAATAATTTAGAGGTGGACCTAGACACTGATGAAAAAGGCTATCAATTAGTAATACGTAATACAAAGAGCATTACACCGATACGTATAATGACTGGAACTTGGGAAGATCCGGAGAAAAAATGTCTACCTTGAGAAGAAATTAGTTGCAATTAGTAAAAGATATTCAGAACTTAAAGGGTTGGCAAGAGGTCAACAAATAATATTTCATGTCTATGCTTTATCTGTTTAATGCTTAACTAATGATTAATAGCATGCAGTTATTAAGTGTTACCTGTGTTTCTTAGTGATTCAAAACCTAGACATCATTAAAAGACAAAGAAAATTGCATTTCAATTTCTCATGTGGTTTTATTTCCTTTATTCTCTCTTTGTAGTAACGGGTGGTTTATATTTAGCTATCCGGGATGATTAAATAAATTTTTTTGGGGCAGGTATATACCTGCCTGGCGCCCGAATATTACTGATTGATCGTTTGTATATATATATATATTTTTTAGGGCTTAAGGCTTTGTGACTGAGAATCAACATAAGACTGAGGGCGGCTGTGAAGCATCACCGTAGTCTAGCGCAGGGATTCCCAAAGTGTGGTACGCGAGCTGCCACCAGGGGGTGCGCGAGAGGAAAAATGTAATGGCGGTCTGTTTTGTAAGTGGGATTTTTCCATACAATAAAATAAAAACCATGAACAGTAAACATTTCCTTTGTAATCGCTTTTATTTTAAATAAAAAATATATAATTTATTAGTTTTTGATAGAAACGTTGAAAACAGCTGCTGTCTTCTACGCACTTCTCTGCACTGCAGCCGGTAACGTGACAAATGTGCTTTTAACTAATTTTATTTCACGGTAACGATATATTTCACGATATAGTTATTTATATATGTAGTTATTCTCGAAAAATCTACAAAAAGGGCTTTGTATAATAAATAAACCCAAATACTTTA